GCAGAAGGCGTCGAAAGCCCTCGTGCGCGCGGCAATGTTGGCGTAGTTGCGCGCGTGATTAGTCGCGCGGCCATCTTGTATCGGACGAGCGCCACGACCACATCGATCGACATCGCTCCGCGTTTTACGCATCTCGTACGAAAATAAGTATCGGGAGTGTCGAAAATAGCGATGTGCGGTCAGCAGGACGTATCCTGACTACGTTATTAGGAAATAATCTCCTCCTTTTCCATATGCAGCTGCTTGCGGTGTTTGCCAGGTTAGCGTCTTTCGCAATTGTAAGTAACATCCATTCACTTAGGTAGCAATAGTAGACAATCGTCGGATTTATTAATCGGAAATTGGAAATTCGATGATTATTAGAGGGAAAAAGGAAATGATCCGACGGATATTCCGAATCTCGGGAAGAGTAGCGTTGGTTTACTAGTGAGAGAGAGAGAGAGAGAGGGAGAGAGAGAGGGAGAGAGCAACATCGCTCACGTCGTGGCGCCAACTGTCGGCATAGTACATGATCACAATGAGAGCTCGTCGACAAGGCTCAATTATCAAATCATTGATCGCGCGGCCATTTCGGATTTTCGATCTTTTTGCGTCGGTAACCGCCATGAACACGTCGATCGACATCGCTCCGCGTTTTACGCCTCTTTAGTCTGTCGAAAGTGAAGGTGAACGAAGACAACGCACGTTTTCTTTATCCGCGCGTGGAACGAAGCGTAATCTACCATTGGCAGCCGAACTCTAAATATCAGGACGATAAAAATTTTATGAAGGAAGCTGCGTGGAGTCAGGAGGCGGTCTGGCAATTAGAAGTATTCGCCGCGGGGACAGTTAATATCTTCATCCGGAAGGCTGAACAGTGGTAGGATGGGAAAAAATTTTATCACCGGGAAAAAAGAGCACGTACACGCCGAGAGCGATGAACTAAGACCGAGAGACTAAATAGGGAAGAAAGAGATGATAACGCATGATGCGAAGCGTCACATCCCAAAAATGTCTAAAATACATCTCAGAGACGTCCCAGAGATGTGTGATAATTCTGGGACGTCTTTAGGATATATTTTAGACATTGTATAGGATAGGCACGGCCAGCTATCTACGTTATCGGTACGCGAATCACATAGAAAAAAAGGAAGTCGTAATATATGAACACTTACAAAATATTGCTGCGTTAGTTCTTTTTTGCTGCAGGAGTAAATTTTTTTGTTTAACAGCAACATGTTCTAGCAACTTGGTATTACGTCGTTCTCACAGCAAGAAAATTTGCTGTTGCAGCGAAAAAAGTTACTAACGCAATAATATTTTTTAGGTATCCATATATTATAACTATTTTAGCTGCGCGACAAACAACTTTTTTTTTCGTGCATGTCTGCTTTGTTAAAATGATTATTTTCATTGGATAAATTGAATGTACACATGTTGGACTTTGTCGATGAGCTCTTGTTTCTCTAAACAGAGTTGGAAAATCGCGGCAACTATCACCTCGTGAAAACTGCCAGACGAGAAGACTTTGTCTCGCGCTTCGATTCGGGTTCGGGCGCGCGCCGACTGTTTTTACGATACGTTTTACTGCTCGGAATTAATCAAACGGAATAAAATTACGAGAACGAGAATCGCGTGTATATACACGGCGCTCTCGCGACGATGAGATTTATCGTCGCGTGAAATACCTTCTGTTTAAGATTACGCCGACGCGACGGAGCTTTATTGTTAATACACGCAAAAAAATAACTTAGTAATATCAGCTAAACCGCAGTAGCTGATTCAAACTTAGTCAAAAGACTAATCGTTTAGCTGTCACTGTTAAACATTGGTTATAACTATATATTCGCTATGAAATACAAATATATTAGGTGACATTAAAAATGCACATTATTTCAAGTAGCTAGGAAAATGGCAGTTATTCCTAAATTTCTTATCGTATGCATATATTAGAGAAGTTTGTCGCACAGCTACAATCATTTGTTACAGTCGTTTATTTCTAGTAGCTAATATTTCTCGCTGTAGCGCCTAAGTTTAACAGCAAATAAATTTAGCTTTGGTAGTATCGATATTAGCTATCCCTATTTTAGTGACACATCTGCCACAGCTATTTTTTTAGCTCTGGAAGCTAATTTTTTTTTGCGTGTAGCCGCACGAAATTGTGGGCGCTCAGTGTGCTCCGCGTGCGGGCAGACGGATAACCGTTGATGGAGAAACGAGCTTTATCGTCGATTATTGTCGCGAAATTTGATATGTTTCTCAGCATGTCGATTGTTACATGATTATTTCCGGAGCGAGCTATAGTCCTGTTCATATTTTGAATTAACATACTGGAACATCTGATGAAAACGAAGAAATAAAAAAATTTGTATAAAAATAAGAAAAACAATGAACAGATATCTCTCTACTCGAGTAATTGAGACTCGGAAGATACGCATGCACGCAGGATCGATATTGCCGATTCGGTGGTCGGTCGCGTTTTATTGGCGCTGGTACATGCAATAATTTATGTGAGTGTCTTACGTTAAGATGACAGCGATATGGGTAATAAAATACACGGTGGCAAGAAATGTGATTTTATGATAAATATTAATGTTGCGGCGACGACAGCTCGCCGCGTTCGTAGTTGCGACGATGGTGGTGGCGGCGGCGGCGGCGGCGGCGGCTGCGAGATCGGAGCCCGTGAGATGATGTAAAACGATTGAGGACCTGCGTCGATGTTACTTTCATTGTCCGTGATTAATGGCAAACGTTTCCGTCGGTTTTTACGCGCAAGCGACCGCAGAGAGCCGCCGCGCGACGACGTCAACATCTGCGCTGTGCGCTATCGGACGCAACGGCAATGTCGCGCGGGCGAGCATCCCGGTGTAGGAAGGTCGATTTACAGTTACAAAGACGTTGAATATTAGACGATACAACGAGGAAACAGGAAGGTGCACTAACGAGGCGGAACGCTTTGCTCGTCCGCCGGCACAGTTAGAATCGCGCAAAATGTATATCGCGGTGAAATAATGGGAGAGGGGGAGGAAAAAATTTCGCGGTCGCGAAACAAGACTCTATATTTCTGCTTGAACGCGGTGATCTTTCTGCGGAAGTTGCCGAGGCGTCAGGAGACTCTCTCTCGTTTCGGGAAGCATCGTCTCGACGTTGCTGAAATCGTCGCGCGAAACTAACGGTCTTGGCGGGTTAATATTTGAACGGGATGACCCGCACGCGCTCTCTCCGCGTTGATTATACATACCGTACGAGTGCCGTTTACGCCTGAAAGTAATTAAACCGTGAAACGGTCCTGGCGCGGAGTAAAGTCGGGAAGGTAACGATAGGAAGCACCCGTTGAAGGGTTGATAAAGGCCGCGCCGCTGGTTAACGGGAGGAACGCTTTATATATCCCATTCCCCGGAGAATATCCGAAGAAGATAGCGCTTGATATACGATCGCGCAGCCGTATAAATTAACTCCTGGTGACATTTAGATTAATTGTTCCGCGCTCGCGTCGCTCGGGGTATGCTTTTTAGGGGTAAGAAATCGCGATCATTATTCCAACTGATCTCCCTCGTGCCTGCCCGGTGGTTGCATTCGAGCGAGACGATTTTTACGAGATGTACGCGAGGAATAATCAGCATCAGCATCCGATACGGAGCCGCGTGTAACGGATTATTCGGTTTGTACGGAGCTCGACAGAGCCTCGCGTTGTCGATATATGCAAATTTATAACTAATGAGTTAAGAATTCAAAACTCTCACTGAGGATTCTCACTGAGAGAAGAATATTTGTAAATTTACTTGTGAAATAAAACAGTCTGTTTTAGAAATAATTTACATCCCACAAATAAATTTTTTCTCAGTGTAAAGACAGAAAGTTTCTTTTTTAATTTCAATTTTAAATTGGCAGAAGGAATATTTTATACGAAATCCTTCGGCTAAATTCGGGTACGTTTGGGAATATTTTGTACGTGCGTTTTACATTGCCGGGGTTTCATCGTGGATGTGCTCGAGTAAAATTTGTCGCAGTCTGGCCACAAGCTGGGTATATCGGGGATCTTCGATTTGATTGCATTCGACGCGTCGGGGAAGCAAGATCCCCGCGGGTGTTGTACGGTAGTGATGTACACTAGTACACGAGTCGATCATTAGGGCAAAACGTTCCTTTTGATCTCGTCACGATCGTCGTATCCCGCAGGAACATCCTGAAAATCATCGTGTCGTGTCGTGTCCGAAGTTTGCCAGAAAGGTTCTACACGAATCGCTCGCTCCTCTTCTCTATCGTTATTGATATGCGACAGGTCTTAGGTATAGGGCTGCGGTAAGGCGCCCGCATTGTCCCAACGACCCTCGAGAGAAAACCAGAAGCTGCGAATTATGATAGGGGCTCGTGTAGAGAGCACCCCGGTGTTGTCATTAGTGGCGCGCGAGGAGAGTAACAACACGGGTCGAGTCTCATCGAGCACGTTTTCGAACTTCCGTTAGCGTGCCAGCGAAATACTTTGAGATGAAAGCTTTTGACACGATGAAGTGTCTTGCTTCTTGCGTCATCGCTTTGGAAAGCCCGAAAATTCATGTTGAGACGAATTAAAGAAAAAAAAAACTACCTGCTTCTCTCTTTCTTTTTCTCGCATTCATTGACTGTGTACGGTATCGTTTGCGACCGATTTTTCATACAGCTATTTTCACATCTGAAAATTTAATCGGGACACTCACGATTTCAAATTCGCATTTAAATGTTCGTCACTTATTTCTGCGAATTTTTTATTTTTTTTTTACTGACCGAGCGAGGCGTGAGTTCTGAAACAGAAGAAATATATTTAATTTTAATGAGTATCGAGACGAAGTTTTCCCCGGGTTTCCGCAATCACGTAAACGACGCCAATTACATGTCGAGGTAACCGTCGACGCCGTAATTACCTTTCGGTCCATTTAAAGTTAACGGGAACCTCCCGCTGGATTGCCGCTGCAAAATTTTCATCCCCGTCGAGTCGCGACGTATCTTTCATCTCGGTTTTTTCTCTCTTCCTCCTTTCGCAGCAGACGCCGCCAGCCAACCGATGGCGAGGAACAGCAATTTCCTGAGGAATATCCGGATTTACGGGGCTCCTCGAGGATATCGAACAAATTTAGCGCGAAACACGTAACGAACGAGTTCCGTGGCAACGGGCCGGAGGGACGCGACAGAGCAAAGAGGAAGAGGAAAAGAGAAGAACGAGTACAGCATGCGTATATACGGTGAGCAGAAAACTTTAACTACCTCACAGCTCATAACCCCGTTATGACCCACGACACGTATAACGTATCCGCTCCCGGAGCAAACGAGCGAGTGCGCGTGCTCTCTCTCTCTCTCTCTCTCTCTCTCTCTCTCTCTCTCTCTTTCTCTCCCCTTTGTCACTTATTATTTTCTTATCTGAGATTCTCTTCGGGCAAATATTGTCTAGACATTAATGTCCGAGCACTCGCACGGGTATCTCGTGTTATCTCAAGCGAGACGCTTGCCGGATCGAAAAGGCGACTAGAAACGACGACGATGACGACGACGACGGCTTAAGCCGATCGCGGATGACGGCAGGGCGGTGAGAAGCTGAGGGCAGGGCGATTTTCCGCCTCGCTATCGGCCTGGCTACCAGACGACGGCCACTTTTGTCGCCGATCTCACGTGTCGCTCTGCGGATCTCTGATTCTCCTCGTAAACCTCAAAGGCGGAGAGATTGCTCGTGGGCGATCCCCTTCAGCCTTGCTTGTTATGTCAGCACGGAGGGTTGCGCCTTTCTGGTGCCAATCCCCCCGCGTGTCCTCGCGCGTTCAATGGATTTTTTCTCTCTCTCGGCTCTCTCTCTCTCTCTCTCTCTCTTTCTCTCTCTCTCTCTCTCTCTCGCTCTCGCTCTCGCTCTCACCCTCGCCCTCGCCTCCCTTTCTATCTCGTTTTCTCTCTCCGCGAGCGTCGACCAGATTCCGAGTGCGAGAGTAACAAGCTCCCAGCATCCGAGAATATCTTCCGCAAATTTATTTATGGGCGTCGCGAGGCGGAACGCCGCGCATTGTGTACCGAAGACGGTCTTACACAACGCGCATAGCTACGTGGCATGTACGACGGCAAACGACGAACTTATTCATGAGCGGATTTAGGGACCCGTGGCGTGGTTGTTGTTTGCTTGTTTACTCATGTACCTAGCTTGATGTATTATTAGGCGCTTACGGAGCATCACACCGCCGACGATATTATCTTGATGCGAGACGCGCGAGAACGCGTACGCATGTGAGCGCGTCGCGGAACATAAGAAGATATCCGCGTGAAATTTATTCGCGAGACGTATTACTTAGACTTGTCACACGTCTTCGATACTATTGTTAGATCGCCGGATCGCGTCACATTGTGATTGAGCACGCGAGCTACGAGCACGTGCGAGTGCGCGGCATTCATCCAGTTTTAAATCCCGTGACCAGTATCGGCACAGGAAACGGCGCGATTTCGACGCGCTTATTAATCCGAGAACCTCCAGGTCGCGCGATTCCGCGGCGTCCTAAAAGGACTTAAAAAGTCAACCAAACGGAACGTTTTAAGCGATGATTCAGCTGTAGATTGCGAGTATACAGACAGACAGACAGACAGACAAGCGAGAGAGACACCCCCTTCCGTCAGTCAAGGAAACGTCAAAAGCTGCGACCATCCCTTGACAGCCACTTTAAAATTACACCGATAATGAAATCGAGGCCTCTCCCTTTTCTTTCACCCCCTTCTCCCGTGCCACTTCTAATTTCTAAGTCAAACCCCGCGGACAGATCGAGGAACAGATGCGACGACAATGGTGAGTAGATCGTCGGTGCGAAATGAATTTAAAGTCGGGATTTAAGGGCGCCTACGACACACTAAACACTGTCGACCCTCGGCGCGCGCATTCACAATTATTACAAGCCGATCGGTCGTAACAGATATTGTTAGTCTCCCGATGAAAAGGGGTGCGTGGCAGGGACGTCAGGCAGTGTCACGGTATCGACTTTACTATCTAGCTGAATGTAAACTCCGCCAACAGCCAATTACCAAACGAGCATTTTTTATTACCCTCCTCTTTTCTCTTCCGCTCTCTTCCGAGCTCGCTTCGGCAAAATGAAAAAATAAGGAAAACGGCATCGTTAATTGCGATAAATGCCGAGATGTCGCAAGTGCGTTCGTTCGGAAAAATTGCTTGGGAAAAATCACTCGAATTTGAGTGACACGACGGTCACTCGTCTTTTGACTCGATTTTCCGAGTGAGACTTCGTTCTAGGAGAATTAATCGTGGTCGGAATGCATACACGGCGAGTTCTATCGTGCGTAGGATAGAGCTCGGGGACTATCGCGAGTTCTGACCGGCCTGGCGCGACGGGAACGTTGGCGTCTTGTATGTTTTTCGCGTACAAGTATATAAAACGCGCGTATATGTACTTTCGCGCGAACGAGCTCGAAGCGCGCCGCGATTTCCCAAGTTCGCGCGTAAGTTTGTCCTGTCCCATTTAGCGCGGGAGATTTAACGCTTCCACCGCGTGGTTTACGATATACAGATACATGTATAGTACCTGTCTGCCTGGCCGCCGCCAGGCTGCCTGCCTGCCTGCTTGCTTGCTTGCTTGCCTGCTAGCGCTGGTTACGAGTGTGTGGGTGGAGACTAGTAGACTGGTTGCACGGCGCGTACATACACAACCAGCGGCAACGGCGTCGAGGCAACGGGTGTTATGCATGGGGTGCCATTCTGGCGCGCTTTAACACCCGTATATAAGGGCGAAATTACACCTCCGGCCATTCCTGTATTTTCGGAACTTGATTAACGCCGCCGTCCCGAATGATTATGGCACTACGTGACGAGATTAGCCGGACTCGTCGCGAAACACGCCGCTCGTCGTCTGACGTGTCCCTCTCGCGCGCCCCTTTTATCCGTTCGAACAGTTTCGCGATTCCGAAACACTGCGTTCGTGGTCGCAAACAGTCGTCATCTCGCGCAAGACGCGTGCTTTCGCTCCCGAGCTTGTCTGCCTTTCCAGCCGTGATCGTGCAACGCGGAAGCACAACGACAATTCGCGAGACGCGGATTCACGGGGGGTACATAATGCAATCGGTTACGAGGATGAACGCGGCGCGAGAGAGCGCAGTGAGAACGGGAATGGTAATAAAAGTAATGAAAACGCCGTTTCGGCATACATAAAGCGCGCGCTATAAATAACGCATAGTTCAATCTGCTGTTATGCAAGCATCGATGAATCGGGAAGGAGCTCGCGGCGGCTGCTAACGTCGTCGCGACACAACGGCCCTACGAAACAAACGTCCTCTCCCGTCTCGACGCACCGGAGAGACGCGCGCCTCTACCCCCGTCTCGCGAGGAGATCTTTCGCGAAAGGATATAAAATCTTTCATTTCCATTTTGAAATTCGACGCGCGTGAGCGGGCGTGTGCGCGCAGCCACACACGCGGCTGGTGTTTCTGCCGGCGTTTCGGGTCGTTTTTAGTATCGCGGGGGGTGCCAGGCGATAAAAATCGCGAAACATTATACAGATTTGTCGGTCGGGCTGCTTTTATGATTTTTCTTCGCCGTCGTACGTCGTCGGAAAACCAACGTCAGCCGGCCTAACCGTCCGACTCTCTTTCTCTTACTCGCTCTTGTTTTTCTCTCTCTGCGCGTCTCCCCCCGTGCGTCTCCCTCTTTCCACTTTTTATTCCCATAATTTAATTATCTCTCGGCTTTATGACCGGGGACTAGCTCTAGTGGGTTAGATCCGGCGACCATAACGCCTCACATAAATTCAGGCGAGAGATATCCCGTTTACTTCACCCTGGGCTCTCTCTCTCTCTCTCTCTCTCTCTCTCTCTCTCTCTCTTTCTCTCTTCCTATCTCTCTATTCTCGCGGATATTCCCCATAAACGGCAGTTCAACCGAAGAACAGCGCGGCATAGACGTCTACCTTCGACCCTGCCTCGACCAATTTGCTGGACGCCGCGCTGCCCCGTTTAATCGAGACCCCGTGATTCGACTATGAATTTATGAGCTCATACGTCTCTCGCGCGCTATAAGTCACATGGCACGATAAATCAGCCGTTATCAAGAAGAACTAAGTGAGACTTAAAAGTAAGTAGAAGTAAAACATAAAACACATACTACTAATAATTCTCATTATTTCGGTCATTAAATACGAATAATTAATGAATGTAACAATAAGTTACATACTGTAGATTAAGTACATGTCTGGGAATTCGTATTTTTATCTTAAACGACGTTTTACATTCCTACTGAAATACGATCATCGCGATTGTACACACAGAAAAATACATATTGCACTCGAGTAAATGTTGTTCAAAAGAAGGAAAGTAAATTAATTGCTTTTTTTTAGAAGCAAAATTATATTTTTCTCTATTTACCACGATGATTCTTCTTTCATGTCTACTTTCTATTTTTTTTTTAATATTTCTCTTTCTATATTTTGCATGTGAAGCGTAACGTTCGGAGCTAAACAGATTCGAGTTTACGACGCGTGTGTCCGTAATCGTCGTTCCGCGCCACGGAAGATTCCCCGCCGTTTGCTCGATGCTATCAGGACCCGGGAGTAATTAAATGAGCGCGACGCGCGTTCCGCCGCGCACGAGCGAAACAGACGAGCGCGTGTAAGCGAGCGCGGCGCGAAAGTTTCGCACGCGGCGATCGAGGGGTGGTGCGCGCCTAGCACGCCCTCGTGTAACAGACACGGTTCGGTGAGCATTGGCGCTGCCAGGTGGTCGCCGGAAGCGGAACTCGGATATCTCGAGGAGCGTCCCCGGTTGAAGCGCTATGGAAATGAGGTCAAACCATCGAGTGCTCCGTCGTGTCGCATTGGGGGGAGGGACGTGTGTCGGGAAAAGGGGGAACGCACGCGGCTTTGAGATAATAGTGAGTTTATATGGCGTCGTAATGAATAAAGAATGTGTAGTTTTTTTAATTCTAGAACTATAAAGACGGGTAAAACTGACCTAGATCGACTTTTCAAACGTTACTGTCAAAATAAATCTTGTTCTTTTATTGTGAAAGAAATTATAACTTGCGATTCATTGAAATTGAATCACAAAAGCTTTAATAGATTTATATTCCTCGATGTTTCCTATTTACCAATTAAAAAAAAGACTGAATATATTCCGGAGGTTATGAGCAAATGAAAATTCTAGGTCCATATTAGAGGTCTTATTAGGTCATATATAGAGTTCCAAAAAGTTAAGTATCAAACCAATTAAAAAG